CGCTTGCGAAGCAGGCGGCAGAACCACTGAGCTGGATCCCCGGCCCCACAAAGCCTATTTTCTAATGAAGCGTTGCCTGGCTCACGTGTCTTACTGAGTTCTTACCATCAAAACAAGCACAGACAACACAGCCCGCTGTGGAGGACGGGTTACAATATTTACCACCCTCCTGTCCCAGGGCCTGGGTGCCGTGCTCGCTGCTGTGTGCAGCCTGGGAATCTGCCAGGAAAATCAAGTCTTCCTACTAAACGTGTATCGTTTTTGCACCATCATAGTTGGAAATGACTAAATTGGACCATCCTAAGTGAAAAGCCATCTGTATCTATATTGAATAGTTGTGTAAGTGTCACTGTTATAACCCTGGAAAAAAAAACAGGTTTATATTCTCTCTTCATTCCACTAACTAAACCTCGTTTGAAGCCCTCCCGGTCCCTAGTCAGAGAAAACAGTTGCTCTGCTATTTGATGGCGACCTTTATTTTATTAATCAAAGCTGCCTATAAAATGCTACTGAAATAAGGAATCTGAATGTTGAGTTACTTATCTTGCTTGGCTGTGCCTGGTTTGACTTTGTTGTTGTTTTCACAAGAATAGCAATCCTTTGCACAGATCTGAGTTTCAGTTCTGACCTACCAGTGAGGTATGCCTTTGAACAGTATTTTCCTCAGCAAAGTACAGATTTAATCTATTTTCCAGAGATGAAGTAGTTATGAGTAGTATTCTCATTCCCTAAAATAACTATTTAGAAACTATTTTAGTTGCCGTTTTACTAGTAAATATAATCATACATTATATTTGTGTTACCCTGGATAAATATTCCTTTCTCTTGCTACATTGCAAATTTCTTTCAAAAGTAAATGGGGGAGGGATGGGGATTTAGGTCAGTGGTGCTGACGCCTGCCTCTCAAGTCCAAGGTCCTAAGTTCGATCCCAGGTACCCCCCCCAACAAAGGAAATGGGGATTTCACTGTTCTTGTTGGTTATACAGTTGAAATTATAAATATACTTACAAACTCACAGGATTAAAGGGTGCATCATTTGGGAAACATAAAAATAACTAAAAAAAAAAAGAAAAAGAAATCAAACCAGTCATGGAGGCACACATCTATAATCCCAGCACTCGGGAGGCTGAGGCAGGATTGCTGCGGGTTCGAGTCCAGCCTGGGCTATATAGTGAGTTCCAGGTCAGTCTCAGCTACATAGTGAGACCCTGTCTCAACCCCACCCCCCAAAAAAGTTCATTTGTCAGCGATGGTGAACCTTTTAGACCAGTGCCCGAATTGCAACCCCAAATCTACTTATTTATTGCCAAGTGTCAACACTGCAATTAAATCTGAGTGCTTAAGTTTTAGTCTAGAAAAAACCATTATCATACACCTGGCTGTTTGGGTGACTTGGGTCAACACTTACAGAGGGCTGTGCACCTGCTATGGCATGACGACCGTAGGTTCGCCACCATGGAATTCTAGTAACAGGATTTCCTTCCTTTGCAAGGCTGTTTGTGTACACCTGTCTGCTTGTACCTCTTGGCTGGTTTATTATGAACATGGGTGGCCAATTATCTCTTTGAGGTCCTTTCAAATATTAGATACATAACCCAAAAAGGTGTTTGCTAAATCATATGGTATATTTTCATAGTTACTTGGAGAATTATTCATGACGTTCTTTATAGTGGCTATAAAACCTTATACTCCTAGCAACAGAGTACAAGGTACAGCTTCTCTACATCCTGGCCAACACTGGATTTCTCAACAGCAGGCACCTAGTAACTATGAGGGGATGGTGCTCGATTTGCCTTTTCTTCTGTGATGAATGTGGAGCATCTTTTCATGTGCTGATTGATAACTCCTTTGGAGAAACTTCTATTGAGTACCTCTGCCCACTTTATTTTTCCAAGAATATTTTTGAGTCTTTAGAGTTGTTGCCCTAAAGGGTCTGGAGCTTGAGCTCCGGTGAGCCTTTCTGGGCTGTTCTTTTCCATCAGTCTGCATGTGTATCTTTACGCCAGTCTTTCCTTCCTTCCCTCCCTCTCTTGCTCTCAAGAGGGCCTTTGGACTGAGCTATATCACCAGCCATTTTTTTTTTTTTTTTTTTTTTTTTTTTTTACTATGTAGAGACTGACATGGAACTATGTAGCCCAGGCTGGTTTTGAACTCACAGCGATCCTCCTGCCTCAGCCTCCCAAGCAGCTGGAACTACAGGCTTGGGCTGTTGCACACAACTCACTGTTCATCACTGTAGCTTTGTAACATTTTGAATGAAATGAGAAAGTGTGAAACCTCCAGGTGTTTTTTCAAGACTGCTTTGGCTGTTCAGGTTGGACAGACCTACTGGGTCCTAACAGTGTGAGCTGCTCTAATGTCTACACTTTCCACTTGCACCCACCACGATGGGAATTTCAACTGGTCCTCAATTTCACAAAATTTTAACTGCTCGTTTTCTTTCAGCTGTTCTTGTGGGTGTGAAGCTGTAGTTTTCTGCCAAGATGCTTCCTCCGGGGGTAGCTGAAGAGCACTTACCGTGTGCCAAGTGTAGGTTAAGTCCCAGAACTGCTCCTAGCAAAAATCTTGCAGGTTTTTTAAAACTTACCTCTGGTCCGCATCTAATTAGTTAAGTCTGTTGACTTTACCTTTGAAAGGTAACTTCTTAAATTCCCGACTTATGATACAAAGAAACAGTAATTGTTCCAGTCTGCTGGATTTTGAAGTCATTTTACCACACACTAGTAACCTTTTCTCCTCCCACACCATAGCTGTAATAAACAGTAAGCAATTTCTATTACTAAAGTGAATACCTATGTACTTTAGACTTCTTTCCCCTCATTATTCACTGTCGCAAGATGAATGTGTTAAAATCTGGACAATATAGTCAGTAGTGGTATAAAGTGTAAGGCCATTTGGTCAGGACTGAATTTTTATTAACCACTCTGATTCAGTCCAAATTACACTTTGGGGACTTTTTTGTTCTACTACAAGATTCCATTACTATATGGTTATTAATATTTCATTCAATATGATAAACTAACAGCATTTAAACTGCTAATAAATCTATATGGCAATCAATATGGAATGGGCACTTTTTCTGTACTGGGATCAAACTCAGGTCCTTGGCGCTTGCGAGGCAGGCAGTGGAACCACTGAGCTAAATCCCCGGCCCATAAATGTGTTCTTAAAGAAGCCGTATCCCCAAAGAATGCCCGAACATAAGCTCAAAGATTATTTCTAAAACTGCGCTGAGGTACCACCAAACATATATTCTACTTGGTACAGAGAAATGGAATAAACATTTCTTGAAGGGGCAACATTCTGCAAGCAAAAATTTCATGCTTATAAATAGCCTAAGTTGTCAGTTCAAATAATTATTCGGTATCAGAGGATAAATCAGAATCACATGGGATCCCTCAGTACTCAAAACGCCATGTCTAGAGCCAGGGACAGCCGAATGGCAGAGCAAATGCCTAGCATGCTTGTTCCTCTACTTCCTTTATATCTTGTTCCTTCTACTTACTCTCTCTCTCTCTCTCTATATATATATATATATATTTTTTTTTTTAAATCACTTGATTTTTTTGATACAGTCTCCTGTGCAGCTCAAGCTGGCCTCAAATTCACAGCCATCTTCCTGCCTCAGCCTCCCAAGTGCTGGGATTACAGGTGTGCACCACCATACCAGGCTTTCCCCCTAAATCGTCATGAGAACAATGGTAAGTGAACTCTGACTGCGATTCAAGATGACAGACCAGCCAGCCACATGTGTTTAGAGCCTCTTCCTGCTAAGACTATAATCTTTCTCTTGTTTTTTTTGGTATGGGGAATCTAACTCAGGACCTTGAGCTTGTGAGGCAGGCGGCAGAACCACTGAGCTACATCCATAGCCCCAAGACTATAATCTTAATCAAGGAATAAAGCATGTTTAACCCAATGACAAAGCATGAGACAGCAGAAGACATTCCAAACACAAAAAGAAAATTAATTCCCAGAATTAAAGGCTTATACTTAAAATGGCTAGGAGAAAGATTAACACTAGAAGTGATGAATCAAGACGAAACGCTAGAAGTAAGCTACTTAACCTTAAAAAAATTTGGAAGCGTTTGGAACTTGAGGACCACCAAAGTAGGGCCGGGGATTTGGCTCAGTGGTTCCACCGCCGCCAGTTTGATCCTGGTACCACAACCCCAATACCAAAACAAACAAAAAAACCCCAAACAAACAAACAAACACACCCAAGTGATGGAAGGAGTAGGGCAGAAGAGAACTGGTCTAAGGTAGATTGGGTTCTTCTGTCCCCTCTGCTACATTATGTGCAACCAGATCAATCACTTCTCAGCTGTGCACAAAGCTGGCCAAGTTCTTTAGTGTCTCTGGGCATGAATGTCCTTATTTATAATGAGACAATAAGAAAACATCTATCTCACAGGATTATCATGAAGTTTGAATCAGTACACATAAAGGTCATAAAAGTTTCTAGAATATGTTAAGCATGCAATAAAAACTGTAATCCTTTAAAACTGTTTGTGTTCTAATTAATTATAGTGTATATATTATTCTTAGACTCACTAATTTAAATGAAACCATCACCGGCGACCATAAAAACGACAGAGACATAACAGCACTTTCACCTTGTGTACCAGTTCCATGATGAATAATTCCACAGTGGCTTAGACTCAAAGCCAGGCCAGCAATTCTGAGTGTACAGGTGAGCACTGAAGACAGTAACACTGGGGGTGGGAAGGAAATCGGAGTCTGCAAAGAGTAGAGAGGCACCCTTGAGTGTCCTTCTGTCACTGTGCAAGTACAGTGGCTATACACTGTGCACCTACACACAATAAGGACCCGGATACACTGCTCAGAGGAAAACATACAGGAATATACTGACATGAGAACTAGAGACTCAATCCATAAACACCACCTGGCAAATGTGATCTAGAAATGATACAGCTTGCGCTATCTGAAAATCATTTATTGCAATCACAAAACTAGAGTTTAATTATTTTTATTATTGAATTATACTGTAATGTCTACATCTACGATTTAATCAGGAAGAAATGCTTTGCATTTACATCAAGGACACATTTACTCTAGTGGAATAAAACAGACACAGACAAAAGACCAAGTACATGTTTAAAAAAATGACTACATGTTTCACCTGGTCCTACTTTTGCTATTTTGGACCATACTTTTCCTACTAGAAAACTGATCTTACATACATTTTAAATCTGATTTTTCTCTCCACATTTTAAAACATTACATGGAGCATCTCACAGTTGCTAATTATAAACAAAAGACTGAAAACATTGTGGGAAACAAAGCTTGAAAACAGAGAGAGCAGATAGCTATTACCTTAGTGGAAAAACCGAGCAAAACATGCCCCTGTGTGGCTCATCTCAGAGACGCTGACCCAGAGGCCAGCACCTCAGACCCAGGACTCCATTTCCTGTGTGCCCTGCAGGCCCAGATCTGAGTGTTTCTGGTCTCAGGGTGCAAAAGTTAAGTGAAAATGTCTACAAAATATCAAAAAGCTATATATCAGAACAGATCTAATTCAAATCAAAACTGTGTGCTGTGGTCTAAATATACACCTTCAGCTTCTTCCTTTTAAAAATTGTTTTTTAATTTTGGATATTTTAAAACAACTTACATTTTTAGTGTGCTTTATGGTCACTGAGTAAAGTTGTAGCTCAAACGATTAAGTTTAAAATTTTTACCTTTGATGTGGTTCTACTAAGATAATTATCTATGACTTTACCAAACCAGGTTATACATGAGGTTAGTTTTAGCTAAAACAATAAAATAAATCAACCTCAAAGATAATGTTAACTATTTTAAGAGTACACAAAATCATAATGCCCACTTCATATTCAAAGTTTACAACTTTAAGTATTAACTACTGCTTACATGTAATTTAAAAGCAAATACTTCCCATACTTTTTAATCAAATTACACCGAGAAATATAGGGAAAAACAAAATAAAAAATCTTGGCAAAATTTGTTTTTGGTAACAAAAAACAATATAACAATGAATATAAATGAAACAAAAAGACCAGTGTTTAAAGTTTCTAATCTCTAAACAAACATACACTTATTATCTAAAAAAATATTTTGGTAGCAAATTGGATTGAGAGAATAAATGTTTTGCTGTAAATAAAAAGTACAAATTTCCAATTACATAGTCTTTTAGCTAGCTAACAGCTTTTAAAAACATGTACAGCTAGCTAATAGTTCTCTAAAACATGTACATATGATACCCTAAAATATCTCTGCTAAAAACCAACTTTATTTCAATGGGTCTTACTGAAATAGGTTTTTCATGATACTAGAAATCTGTTAAAAATTGAGTATGACAGGGCTACAACAACATTACTTTTAATAAAAGTTACAGAAGAGATTATTGCTGTACTTTTCCACACAAACACCATCAAACTTTGTTGCAGTTAAAAAAGTACAACCAAGCTATGCTTCTCTTACTGAATTTCACTGTTTCACATGTTTGTAAAATTTTTATTCAGCAGAGAATAAATCTTGGAATCTTTTCTGTAAGAATTTAAAGTATGTGTAGCTTCACATTATACATGTTTTGCCCTTATTTCCCAAATACACAAAAACAATATACATTTTCCCCAAAAATGAAGATGTCCACATTAAAAAAATAAAGCCTACGAAAAAGTTCCAGAGCTAAAAAAAAGATTATTTATATGGCACAAGGTGATCTCCTACTAGTCCAAAGTCCAAAACATTTAAATGAAGTTCATTTATATATCTTGTTTGCTTTTCAATGAAATACTAAATTTATTAAAGTGAAATCACATTATTTTTTAGTTCTTGTATCAATGAGTATACACAAATGTTTTTCTACAGTTATTAAAAATAGGAGACCAAGGTGAATGTGCCAAAGGGAAATCGTTCAGATGGATTTTCCAGCCTTATACAAATTAGAGAAGGGATTTCCTTGGTTGGTTTCCATAGCTTGATAGACCAAAAACAAAAAAACGGCCACAACAACAAACAGCAAAATTTTTATCCACATAGGAATGGAGCGTCCCTTTTTTGTCTTTTCTGTCTTGACATCCGCCAAGGGAACATACTTAGGAACGTATTTAGATGAAAAAGATTCCTCCATCCTGAAATCACTGAGTTCTAATGGCCGCCCCGCAGCCCCTTTGATTGGTCTGCGGCAACTAGCGCTGTTGAAAATGAAAAGAGGGAAAAGAAAATAATTTTAGATGAAGAACATAAAATATCAATGCCACTTCTAATTCCAAGCATACTCCATAAGCTAACAGTAGAAAACTGTCGTGTATAAAAAAGTGAGGTCAACCCATTTAAAATGTCTATACGTTTTTCATTTTAAAAGTTAGATTCATCTTTCACTAGAAAATAATATTCAGAGGCAGGGGATTTAGCTTAGCGGTTCCAGTGCCTGCTTCTCAAGTGCAAGGACCCTAGTTTCATCCCCAGTTAAAAAAAAAAAAAAGAAAAAGAAAAAGAAAAGAATATTCAGAACATAGATCGATATTCATTAAAGTTGCATTAAAGGCTTCTCAGCTATATTTAGGAGATATTTGGGAGGAAAAATATAGGGTAGTTTTGGCCGATTCCTTCAGTTATGAAACAATTTGATAGATCTATGCATAGTATTCTCAATTAGAAAAGAAGAAATACAGGGGGAAAAGATTTTCTCCAAAACCAGGGGTGTAGCTCAGTGGTAGACCACGTGCTTAAGGCCCTGGGTTCAATTACAACACCATAAAAAATAATACTGACAATAAACAAGTGACTTAAAAAATTATATACTTCCTACTAGGTTACTGTTTAGATCTTAAAATGTAGCTCATCACTTTCCTAGCATGTACATCTACCTGAGGCCCTGATTCAACCCCCCACCCCGTACTAGGGGGAGGTGTGTGCATGCATGCGTGTGCGTGTAGTGTGTGTGGTTATATACCTATATATCTATAATAATCCTTCAACTTAACAAAATTAATTCTGAAAATGATTCAACTTTCAAGGTATTATGATCAACTGGTCACTTAGTGAAATTAATCTGCTCTCAAAAGAACAGTTTAATTCTGAGAAGAGAGGCAGACAAGCTTTGTGATGAAGGATGACAAATTCCTGACAGAATATACTTATATCTGATTTGATGTATCCAAGTACCTAATTCCTGTTGGTGTAGATGCTTCAAAGGGGAACATTTCCTTAAGAATATCCCTTTCTACTCTTCTTTCCTCTGTTTTTTCTCCCACCTAGTAAGAAACAAACCATAAATTAAAATTTAGTATAAATGTGCAATAATCAAAACATAAATTTAGATAGAAGTTTCAGAAAACAAAATGCCTACAGTTTAAGACTGCTGTTTCTAAATTTGTTAGCATCTAGGTATCCACAGGCTTCCAAATGTCTGCAATACAGGGCTGGGGATTTAGCTCAGTGGTTCTGCTGCCTGCCTCGCAAGCGCTAAGAACAAGTGTTCGATCCCCAACACCATCAAAAAAAAAAAAAAAAAAAAAAAAAAAAAAAAA